TGATGGCCCAGTGGCTAAGTCATCGCCTTGCAAGCGCCAGGATCCCATAGGGTGCCAGTTCACGTCCCATCCTGCTCCCTGCTTGTGGCCTGGGAGAGCAATTGAGGATGACCCAAAGCCTTGGGACCCTACACCCCGTGTGGGAGACCCGGAAGAGGCTCCTGGTTCCTGGCTTTGGATCGGCTCAGCTCTGGCCATTGTGCATACTTGGGGAGTGAATCAGCAGATTGAAGATATTTCTCTCTGTATCACCTTCTCTCTGTAATTTTCTGATAAAAATAAATAAATCTTTTTTTTAAAAGAACCTACCTTTGCATTAATATTGGAGTAATTAACTTGGTCCTTGTGTTAGTAAACCCAAGAATGTGGCGTTTTATTATTGGAAATTCTCTTTGAAGAATGAGAGTTACTTTGAAATCACAAAGGTATATTTAGGGAGAAATTTTTAGCTTATCTGACTAGCCCTGCACTAAATTTCATTGATTGCTTGCTCCACTGTAAATACTAGAAAAGTAATGAAAAATACTGCAATACCCAAATCATAAGTGTAACAAAGTGAGTTGGACAGCAGTTGCAAGAATAGTCCATTCATAGGAAGTCTTGTGAAAAGTGTCCGAAAGTGCAGATTGCCTCAGTTTGTCTCCGTCTGCGGGAGCTGTTTTCTGTCGGATCCTAATAAACAGTACCAACAGTGATCAAAGCCAGCAGTAGTTAATCCATTTACTCTTTAGCTTGATAGATGGCACATCTGCTTATACGGGATAAGTGCCAGAGCTTTAATGCAGCCCGCTAAACAATAGATTAATGACAAGGCTATTTACTGGGATAAATTGCTCCTTAGGTGGTCTCTCCACATCACATTGTTTTCAGACTGTTAGGAACAACTGTGCTTTTAATACAGTAGTGTTATCATTTTATTATACTAAATATACCTGCTAGAGTTATTAAGTCAATACAAAAGCCTTCAGTAGAAGTTACTGTGCCTGTTGCTGTAGCAGTAGTGTTTATCATGATCCTGAAGGCAAAAATAAGTGAAACTGATTTTATTTTCAGCCTAAAATTGAAAATGCAGTCAGTGTAAATTTAAGTGGTTCATTTGGCAGGGATGTTTTAGCCAGAATTTGTGTCTGGCAAATGGGAACCCTCCCGGGTCTTTCACACCTCCCTTGGCCACTTGCCCCTGCTATTCCCCTAACAAAGCACCCTGTTCCTCCCACACATCGGTCTTCCCTCTGCCTGGACTGTCCAATCCCCATTCCGATCTCAGTCCAGATGTCACCGCAGAGAACTACCCGAGATGGCCCTAACTGCTGTGCATTGTTCTGCAATGACATTTGACATTATTGGACGTTACTTTGTTTATTATGCCTTTGCCCATCAGTGCTGAGGTCCATGACAGCAAGGCCATGGTCTGTCCTTAACTACTGTATTTCCAGCTCCCAGAACAATGCTGCTGCCACACCATAGGCTCTTGGTACATTTTCGGCATGAATTAGTGTCACAACAATTGTAGAAAATATCTAAGCAGACAAGAGACCTTTGGCAAAGATGTGTGGATGAAATGTTTATGCTCACACACTTTCAAATGGAAAGCTGGAGTTCTGTACTACAGAACTACATCTACAGGCTAGATCACAGTACCTGCCAGAGAGTGCTGGAACAGGGAACAGGTCACAGTAGGCTGCGAGAGAACATGTGAGAGAGCCAGGTCTGGGAGCAGATTCTGTGTTATATGAGCCCACCCCTGTGGAATAGCAATTTCTGTTGGTTTGCTTAAGAGCTGAGAGTAGCGACAGGCTAAGCAAGGCATGACCAGGGAATCCATTGATACTCATGAGTACTAGGGCACAGGCCAGGCTAGTCCAGGCTGTAGCACCCAGAGGTGCACCTGAGAAAGTAGAGGTTGGGGAGGGGACTGGGCCACAACATCCAGCAGCTCATACAAAGACTGGGACAGAGGTGGCAGACTGTGCCAGGTATGGATGGGCCTAGCACCCATGTGCTAACACATGTGAGATCTGGGTCTGGGAGTGGGGTTAGGGGTGAACATAGGTAGCTCCACTACACGGGTGGGCCATAGCTCTCTCTGGTGAGCATGTGATTCAGGCCTGGATGTTGGTCAGCCCGGGCAAGGACACTCCACTCAGCAAGCATGTGGGTTGATGGTAGGGTTGGAGGGGAATGGACAGGGCAGGCGAGCCTTATCTCACTGGCATGTGCAGGAGCCAAGATAGAGTGCTGGTCATGCCGGGCTAGGCTATCACACCTATCTGTTTGCATGAGCCAGGGATGGGAACATACTGGACAAGGCTAGGCTGCAATACCCACCAACTAGAGTTGGACTGGGAACAGGCAGGGACAGATCAGGCATCCGATGGCAAAGGCCAAGATGATGGACTAGGCCAAGTTGGGTCAGAGCAACCACTGGCACTCAGAAGATCTGTGGTTAGGAGCAGACCTGGTTGGGGAGCTAAGGGATGCTCCAGCTAGGTTGTAGTTCCTCCTGGTGAGCACAGGAGCCGGAATGGAGGAGGGGATCTGGGCTGGACATGACTGTAGTGTCCCTTGGCATGGGTGTGGCCTGGATCTGGAATGCACCAAACTGAGCTAGACTCCAGCACCCACTGGTGCTCATGAGAGCCAGGATAAGTATAGGATGGGCTGGACTAGGTCTTGGTACTTGCTGTACCACAGGAGAGCTGTGTCTGGGCATGGACCAGGTATGGCTGGGCTATAGCATCCAATAATAAGAACCGGAATGGGTGTAGACCAATTGGGCAAAGCCATTGTTCCTGCCAGGATAAGTTGGTCTGGCCTATGCACCCACCAGTATGTGTGAGTTCTGCCACTGGGAGGAGACCTGATAGAGGTACTTTCAGGACACAGTCCCTACAAGTGAGCACAAAAACTAAGGCTGGGAGTATACCAGACCAGGGCAGGATACAGTACCCACCAGTATACATGTGGGTCAGGTCTGGTCTGGGGGCAGGCCATGCTTGGCCAGTTCATAACACCCACTAGCAAATCCGAGAACCAGGACAAGGTGCAGGACAGGCCTGGTTGGACCACAACACCAGCCAGTTCAGGTTAGGGCCAGAACTGGAGATTGGCTGGGCTGGGCTAGGCTCAAGCATCCATCTGCATGAACTTGAACTGGGGACAGGCCAGGCCAATCTACAGCACTCACCAGCTAATGCCGAAGTAAAACAGGCCATGCCAGACTGGGCCGCAGTACCCACCAGCACACAGGTGACCTGCAGCAGGGCAAAGAGTGATGTGGCCCAGTAGGGGAGTGTAGGGAGTCTCCCCTGCTGGGTGACTGCTCCCACTGGTGAGTGTGAGAACTGGGATCAGGAGCAGACTAGGCCAGGCAAGGCTGCAAGACCTTTTGGTCTGCTTGTGAACTGAGTTATGGGGATAACCCATTTGGACTCACCAGCTGTACACACTGGTACCTGCACAGACAGGAGTACAAACAGGCTGGTTGGGCTTTGCTGCAGCATCAGCTGGTAGATGCTGACACTAGAGGCAAATCCTGTCAAGCTAGACTGCAGAATCACCTAGACAGTACAAGATCCAGGCCTGGGAGTGTGCCCAGTAGGGAAATTGTGGCACCTCTCTGATAGTTGGTAACTCCCGCTGGTGAGTATGAGAACTAGGGTTGGGGGATGGGCCTGGTTATACAAGTGTTGGCATTTGCCACCATGATAGTGGAGTCAACTGGATTGAAATAGGCTCAGACGCCCATTGATGTGTATGAGAACTGAATGGGATGTGGGACAGACCGGACCAGTCTGCTGCACATACTGGCAAGCACAGGAACCAGGGTTTGAGATGGGCCTGGTTGACAGGAGAGAGAGAAAAGAAGGCTCTTTTTCTGTGGGGACATAGGGAGAAATTATTTCCTGGGGAAGAAACAAAAATCTCTCCAAATTATGTGGCTGATTTGTACATTTCACTACATGTAATTATTTTCAGAGAGCTTTGTTCATTGAGAGGAGGGCGGGGAGCGGAACGGCATGGCCGGGCCAGCAGCAGTCACCGAGGCTGCGTCACGGTGACAGGCCTTGCTGACGCCGTGTTCACCCTGCTGTGTGTGCCATTTTCTGCAATCAGATTTAAAAGGGGACGAAGGAAGTGATAGAAATGATTGGATATGAAATCTGACCTTATACCATTTGTTTTTAACTAAGAAAAAGTATATCAAATATAAACCTTTTGAACCTTTTTCTCTAAAGATAAGACAAGGTAGGGGACATTGAAAACTATCTAAGGGATTTGGAGAACTAAAGATAAACTCTTTGCCTAAAACAAACATAATAAAGCAGCTCAATTTCAGGTAGTTAATTACAGAAATTTTCACATTAACAAAGACACAGCCTGGGGGGGAAAGTGAATGAAGGTTTATTTCCTAGTTGACTTAAATACAGAGTTTAGTATTTTGTCTTCACCTGATTTTTTAAAATTCTTTTTATTTTTGATTTGCTTCCCATGTGAGGATTGAAGCAAATGAGTGAAAGGTAGGTAGGTTTTTAAAATGTAACTAATTTAAGATACTATTAACAATTTTATAATGAGAGGAAATATATCTTTAAATTATCTTAATGTCTTATAAAAGCATAAAGGGAAAAAAAAGAACATACATGTAAAAACAGTCTTTAAGAGCATTTGCTTGAGAATGTGTCTATAAACTATTAGTTATAGAAAATTTTATGAATGAGATATAATTTTTATAGAATGCTACCTTTATAATGTATATCTACTAAGAAGTAGATCAGCTCTTAGGAGAAAAAATAATGTTAATACTTCCGTTGTTTTTCTCCTGTGATTCTTATGTGATGTAAGGAAAAAAATAAGAGTTATGGTTCAGAAATGATTTAAGGCAATAATTAACAAATAGCTGGTGTATATTTTATAATAACAATTTAGCATCTGTTTTCCAGGTTGTTTTGAAAAACCCAGTAGCAACCCATATAAACTCATATTTGCAATCTTTTTAGCTGCAGAAAATCATAAGTAAACAGGATGACTTGAAGACCGTGAAAAGGAGTGACACAGAGTGTCAGGTATGTACGGATAAAACCAGGTACATCCGGCAGGTGATGCTTATAGTAACTACAGTGTCCTGTTTGTTCCAGTCAGTACTCCGGGTAGTTAGAATCGTCACTGCCCGACTTAAACATGTGTCCAAGTGTCTGTAGAGGGAGCAGGCTTCCTCCTCCCTGCTCTCCTGGGCAGCAAATAGTGTGAAATGTTTGAGATGTTTTTTGTATGTATGTCAGGTTTTCAGAAAGTTCGTAGAAATGCTTATTATGAACAAACTACGCATGCGTTTTGAAACTTTTTACACTTTTCTCTCTGTGAATCTGTCTTTCCATTAAAAATTAATAAAGCTTTAAAAAGAAAATCTTTTTACGCCAGAATAAGATTGTCTTTCGATTCTATTTCACCATGAACTTTCTGAAATACCTCAAGGTTAGAGTTGTGAACAAGAAGTTCTGACTTTGAGAAGAAGGAGATCAAATAACTGCAGCAGATTAAGGCAGGGTGTTTGACAGGTGGGGGGGGGGTAGAGGTGTTGATGCAGATTGCAGTGTTAGCACGGTCAGGGAAGAGCTTGCGAACAAGATATTTGAGGAAAGACTTGAAGGGAATTATGGGTATCTGAGAACTGAGCATTTGGGGCCCAAGGACTGTGGTAGGTGTCCCCAGTATGTTTGAGCAACAGCAAGCCAAGTTTTGTAGCTGGAGTAGAAAGGGGTATAATGCAAAGACAGTTCAAAAAGTTTTTGGAAAAACAACTCAAACATGACCTGCAGGGACTGTATGACATGACACAGGCACTGCGGCCCCGCAGGTTGAGCTGCCAGCTCCCAGACAGGCATCCACAGCTCTGTGTCTGTCCATCTCCCTTCTCCTGCACCTGCAGGACAGCCACCCCTGGGAGAGATCCGACTGGAGGCCCAGGCACCTGGCCTTTGGGCTGGCCAAACTCCAGCTCTTGAAGCCATGAAATGAATGTTTTGAAAAGGAACCAAGATAACGTACACTTTCCATGGACTTTCCCTGGTGTGTGAATAATAAATACATTCAGAGCCAGAGTTCTTGCCTAGCAAGTAAAACCGACGCCTGCAGCCCCAGCATCCCATGGGTGCGAGTACAAGTCCCAGCTGCTAAGTTCCCGATCCAGCTCCTTACCAATGTGCCTGGGAGAGCAGCAAAAAATGACCCATGTACCTGGGCCCCTGCACACACATGAGAAACCTGATAGAAGCTCCTGGCGTCACAGCTGCCCAGCTCCAGCCATTGTGGCCATTTGGACAATGACCTAGCACATGAAGATCTGTCTCTTCTTACCAATCCCCTCCTCTTTTAAACTTAGCATAAAAAATGAAAATAACAAAGACTTATATATATATATTCCTTGTTTTACTTTCTTTTAAAAATATATTTATTTTTCTTGGAAATGTAGATTTACAAAGAGGAAAGACGGAAAGAAAGATCTGTCTACTGGTTTACTCCCCAAGTGGCCACAACAGCTAAAGCTGAGCCAATCCAAATCAGGAGCCAGGAGCATCCTCTGGGTCTCCCACGTGGGGTCAGGGTCCCAAGGCTTTGGGCCATCCTTGACTGCTTTCCTAGGCCACAAGCAGGGAGCTGGATGGGAAGTGGAGCAGGTGGGACATGAACTAATGCCCATAAGGGATCCCAAGCATGCAAGGCAAGGATTTAGCTGCTAGGCTATCACACTGGGATCCCCTGTTTTACATGTTTATGCAAGCACCACCATACTAAATATTGTTATATACTTGTCTTTTTTATCTTAGTGTTGATCTCATTCCTTTTTCATGTTATATGGATATAGAAATTGTGCTAACCATTCCCATTTTGCTAAATATCGAAAAATACCTTCTGTAGAATAAGAACCAGCTTTCATTCTCATCAAGCATCAAGCATGCTTATCAATAAATACAGAATCAAAAACTTAGTTTCTCAAATAATCTTTAGTATCTAGCTGTCTACCAGCCTAAAGTTAGGCCACACGGACGCTCAGCCTCACATAATGGAACTTCTGCAATCACCTGTTTTCGGCTCCAAACCTGCTAGGCCAGGGCCCTCAGCAGCGGGGGAGCTCTGGGCCCAGGAGGCCTGTCCCAAGGAGGAGCCATGCGCCCCAGGAGACCTGTCCCTGCTAGGCCAGGGCCCCTCAGCAGGGGGGCGGGGGAGCCCTGTACCCCAGGAGGCATGTCCCAGGGCCCTCAGCAGCAGGGGAGCTCTGGCCCCAGGAGGCCTGTCCCTGCTGTAGAGCTAGGAGGAGCTGGAGGCTGCTCTGGACAGGAGGGCCACACGCCTAGAACCACGAAGGGCAGTATTAGCATGAGGACAAGCTCCTCAGATGCTTGTTAGCCTTTGATCAGATGCTGGAGCGCAAAAATGATCGTTCTTGACCATTTGGGGTGGGTTAGGGGTTTATTTGTTGGTTTGGTTTTTTTGTCCTTAAAGATTTATTGTAGTTTCATTGGAAGAGCCGACTTACAGAGAAGAGATACAGAAAGAAAGATCTTGCGTTCAGGTGACCACAGTGGCCATAACTGAGCTGATCCAAAGCTAGAAATCAGGAGCTTGCTTAGGGTCTCCCATGCGGGTACAGGATCCCAGGGACTTGGGGCCTGCTCCTCTGCTGCTTTCCCAGATCATAAGCAGGGACCTGGATGGGAAGTGGAGTAGCTGGGACACACACCAGTGCCCTATGGGATCCCAACGCTTGTAAAGGAGGGATTAGCCACTGGACCATCACCCCAAGCCTCTGACATTTTGTCCAGCCGACTGCTTTGTGGAGAGAGAGTTTGTCAGCCTCTATCCATCTTTTGGAAGCAGTTAGAATATTTTCACTGGCCAATTTGCCGTATCTTTTAATTAACATGGTCAGTAAGTTAGGCTTAGAGATCACATTTTGAAATAACATTTATTTCAGTTTTAAGCTTGTCCAGCTCTAAAATTTTGTTTACTACTGACATGCACCTTAAGTATTTTATGCCTTATAGACTTTTCTTTTTCCTGTTTAAACAAATATATATATCTGTATTAAGCATACAGATATATATATATATATTTGTATTAAATATACAAAATATATGAAATTAAATATACAAGAATATAGAAGGAGTAACTGCATCCTTCTTTTACAACTTTTTTCCTTGCTTCAAGAATCATTTCTGCACCTGGTGCAGTAGCCTAGTGGCTAAAGTCCTTCCCTTGCATGTTCCGGGATCTCATATGAGTGCAGATTTGTGCCCAGCTGCACCACTTCCCATCCAGTTCCCTGCTTGTGGCCTGGGAAGGCAGGCAAGGACGGCCCAAAGCCTTGGGACCCTGCACCCGCGTGGGAGACCTGCTTCAGATCGGCTCAGCTCCAGCCACTGGGGCCACTTGGGGAGTGAACCAGCAGATGGGAGATCTTTCACTCTGTATCTCCTTCTCTCTGTATATCTGACTTTCCAATAAAAATAAAAACATCTTTAAAAACAAAAGAATCATTTCTGGACATTGAGTTCCAGTCTACATTTTCTATTTTTGTTCTTATTTATAAATATTTAAAATTAGTATTTATTTTTCATAGGAATCAATAGTGAAAGAATCTGAAATTAATACAACTCTCGAAATACGCTTCTTCGGAAAAAGAGGAGAAAAAAAGCTTCATTATCAGGAATTTCGAAGGTAAATGCAGATATTCTTACCATTTTATCGTATTTGGCAGGTAAGAAGTGAAGCAAGCAGGCCTGAGCTTACGGTTAAGCCGCTGGCTGTCTTCCTTCTCACACAGCCTGCTTCCGCTAGCATGCCTGGGAGACAGCCGCGGATAGCCAAGTATGTGGTCCTCTCCCGTCCGTGTAGAAGCTATGGATGAGGTTCCTTGCTCCTGGTCCAGGCCCAGCTCCGAAATAGGAATGAGACTAACAGATGGAAGATCTCCATCTCTCCTTCTCCTTCTGTCATTCTGCCATTCAAATAAGTCTGTGAATAAATCTTTAGAAAGAAAAGGAAGAAGTGAAGAAACAATTCATTTCTCAGAAACGTGGACCATAAAACTAAATACTGTTCGGATCTGTTTACTATCATTGAGAGCTAAAGCTGTATGATATGTACCTCTCATTGAGTAATCTAACCTATTGTAAAAAGTATTACCCACTTGATAGAATACAGTAATTCTTTTTAGTAACCTTATGTTCACAACTAAGAGACATGACCATAGTATCATAGCAAACTCAAGCAACCCCAACTTTAATTGAAAGAGTAACCTTTTTTTTTTAATTAATTACATTTCATTTTGTGACAGTTTCATAGGCTCTGGGATTCCTCCAACCTCTCCCCACGTCCTCCCCCCATGGTGGATTCCTCCACCTTGTTGCAGTATTACAGTTCAAATACAGTCAAGATTCTTTCATTGCAAGCATATACCAAGCATAGAGTTCAGCATATTATTGCCCAGATCAACAGTTTCTTGGGGAGACCCTCTCTGGTCTGAAGGTAGAGCTGGCAGAGTATCATCCCAACCAAGTAAGAGCCCCAGTGTAATATCAACAACAATTTACAACATTATAGAATTAATTGACGTGGTATTGAGTGACCAATACGTTAGGAAGTGCAAGTTCTTAACCATATTCTGTGACTACTTCATTGACATTTCAATTTTAGTTTATATACAACCAGCTTCTATACACCTTAAAATGGCTACAGGGTGCTATTCGGCTGTCTCGTGTCTATTTTCATTTTAGTATTTAGCTGTTCATAGTGTTGAAGCATAATTTTGCTGAACTTGGCAGATTTTAGAATAGTCTAGACTGGCTTAAACTCTAACAAGGCATATATCCACAGTTGAGGCACAGAACAGTTTCAGGAGGGGTGTGCAGAGAAATCTTCAATGCCTTAGTGAGGAGATCTTTGTGTCCTACCTAGTAAGGTATATGTGTGTCTAAGCTGACCGTTTCTTGTCTGGTTCTAAGCTTTCCTTGTTGTTCTCTGTCTGTCTACTCTAATTTTTTTTTGGGGGGAGGGGGCCTCCAAAGCGACCGTGATGGTCACTGCAAGAGAGGGTGGGCATCCAAAGTTGGAACTAAGACCAGAGAAAGTTCCCCTCCCAAGTCCTGAAGGGAGTTTACTGTTCTGTTTTTGAGGTCTGCTCAGGGCTCCCGGCTATTGTTCCGATGACATTAGATCCTGTGAGCAAGGATCTGGGCATCTTCCATCCCATGTGGGAGATCTGAGAGGGAGTAGATGACCTCAGAGTTCCCAGCCTCTGCAGGCACTATAATTCCCTCGTGGTTTCCTTGGCAGTTGGGGTGTAGTCCTTGGTGCCCGTACTGATAGTCCTTGGTGGGAATCCAGGAGTCTCCAGGGTTGGGATACAGCCTCCTCCTGTCCACCTGCTCCACTCTGGGGTCCCCCCCCCCTACTCTGTGCATTTGACCTCCTGTTAAGAGGTTGTCAGGATTAAGAGTAACCTTTTTTAATTATAATTTTATTTTCAACATTGTTTTTATCATTTGGAAGGCACAGTTACAGAGAGAGGCAGAGAAAGGGAAGTCATTGCTGCCTCACTCTCCAAATGGCCAGTCGCCAGGGCTGAGCCAGGCAGAAGTCAGGAAGCAGAAGCTTCTTCCAGCTCTCCATGTGGGTGCAGGGGCACAAGGACTTGTCCCATCTGCTGCTGCTCTCCCAGGTGCATCAGCAGGGAGCTGGATCAGAAGCGGAGCAGCTGGGACTTGAGTCAGAGTCCATCTGAGATGCTGACATGGCAGGCAGCTGTGTAACCTGCTATGCCCCAATGCTGGCCCCACATGATATGTACCATGAGTCTTTGAGGCATTCGGTTGGTCTGCCTGATGCATCGCCGCCTGCTGAGGGCTAGCTGACTGGTGGTAAGCTCTTACCCAGTTTCTTGGCAGGGGCAGCTTAGCTTGCTCCACAGACCCTCACTCTCTGGCACAAGGGGCCAGACAGTAGCCATGCTGTCATACATGTGTGCTACTCCGTGGAAGGAGCCATATACAGCATGGAGGACGTGTGCCTGCCCATGCTGCAGTAGGGCTCTAGACTCACAGTTATTCCTAACAACTTTTAACCAGCGGGGCTATGCTTATTTACCTGAGAGGGCCAGACTCTCGTGCATTATTTGAGTACTATAAACGTTAAAATACGATCTTCTGCTTACTCTCCCAATGAGAATAACTATGCAAAATGAGACAGTGTACCTCCCTGTGCTGAACGACTAAGCAGAGCTGAACAGTGTGCTTATTAGAAAGCAGTAGAGCATGGGGACGAGAAAGCTGATTAGGGAGGCACGAGATCTACCCCTTGTTCAGCTCAGGGCAGTTTGCCAAAGTTGTTGTTTTTGTTTGGTTTGGTTTGGTTTCTTAGTTTTTTAGTACATATCGTATACTGTTATATCTAAGGCCATGTGTGGTCTCTCTGGTGATACTATGACATGCCAGGCCATGTCAGCAGTACTAGGAGTGGTCCCTGTGGAGTATGGTCCTGTCCGCAGTACTGAGTGTGGTACCTGTGGAGTATGGTCCTGTCTGCAGTACTGGGTGTGGTACCTGTGGAGTATGGTCCTGTCTGCAGTACTGGGTGTGGTACCTGTGGAGTATGGTCCTGTCTGCAGTACTGGGTGTGTTACCTGTGGAGTATGGTCCTGTCTGCAGTACTGGGAGTGGTCCCTGTGGAGTATGGTCCTGTCTGCAGTACTGGGTGTGTTACCTGTGGAGTATGGTCCTGTCCGCAGTACTGGGTGTGTTACCTGTGGAGTATGGTCCTGTCCGCAGTACTGGGAGTGGTCCCTGTGGAGTATGGTCCTGTCTGCAGTACTGGGAGTGGTCCCTGTGGAGTATGGTCCTGTCCGCAGTACTGGGTGTGTTACCTGTGGAGTATGGTCCTGTCCGCAGTACTGGGAGTGGTCCCTGTGGAGTATGGTCCTGTCCGCAGTACTGGGTGTGGTCCCTGTGGAGTATGGTCCTGTCTGCAGTACTGGGTGTGTTACCTGTGGAGTATGGTCCTGTCCGCAGTACTGGGTGTGTTACCTGTGGAGTATGGTCCTCTCTGCAGTACTAGGAGTAGTCCCTGTGGAGTATGGTCCTGTCTGCAGTACTGGGTGTGTTACCTGTGGAGTATGGTCCTGTCTGCAGTACTGGGTGTGGTCCCTGTGGAGTATGGTCCTGTCTGCAGTACTGGGTGTGTTACCTGTGGAGTATGGTCCTGTCTGCAGTACTGGATGTGGTCCCTGTGGAGTATGGTCCTGTCTGCAGTACTGGGTGTGGTCCCTGTGGAGTATGGTCCTGTCTGCAGTACTAGGAGTGGTCCCTGTGGAGTATGGTCCTGTCTGCAGTACTGGGTGTGTTACCTGTGGAGTATGGTCCTGTCTGCAGTACTGGGTGTGTTACCTGTGGAGTATGGTCCTGTCTGCAGTACTGGGTGTGTTACCTGTGGAGTATGGTCCTGTCTGCAGTACTGGGTGTGTTACCTGTGGAGTATGGTCCTGTCCGCAGTACTGGGTGTGTTACCTGTGGAGTATGGTCCTGTCCGCAGTACTGGGTGTGGTCCCTGTGGAGTATGGTCCTGTCCGCAGTACTGGGTGTGTTACCTGTGGAGTATGGTCCTGTCTGCAGTACTAGGAGTGGTCCCTGTGGAGTATGGTCCTGTCTGCAGTACTGGGTGTGTTACCTGTGGAGTATGGTCCTGTCCGCAGTATTGGGTGTGTTACCTGTGGAGTATGGTCCTGTCCGCAGTACTGGGTGTGTTACCTGTGGAGTATGGTCCTGTCTGCAGTACTGGGTGGTCCCTGTGGAGATCCTTCTCTCTGTCTCTTCTCTATGTATATCTAACTTTCAAATAAAATTTTTTAAAAAAGAAGAAAGGTTCACACAACGCCAAAGGAAGAAATAAGTGATGTTTTTATACTGTGTCTTCTACTTCTGTACATTCACTTGCAAATAAATCATTCCTTTAAAATCGAATAACAATCAATTGTATGTCACTACAGTACACTATAAGACAAGGCAAAGTAAAAGAATGGCAAAATATTATAAGCAAAACGTTGGGTGAGCTCTAAGTCCAAACTTGGAATAATTCAAGTTTTAGAAAAAATTCCACTTTGATCCAGAAAGAAGCATGGCGTTGGTGAATGTCTGTCTCCAGCGTGGTCAGGAGATGCTGTAGGGAACAGACCCTTGCACTGCACAGGTAGAAGCTGAGATCAGACTTTGCGTTTGTACTTTTACAGTTAGCAAGACAAGCAAAGAACCTAAAGCAGGTCATTTTCAATGGTGATTTTTTCCCCACTGAGCTGGAAGGAATCTTTTTTCAAAGCCCCAGTATGTTTCCATTTGAATTGTTACATGACAGCCAGAACAGAACTTGTAACATATACAAAAGTAAATAAAAGGATCTGTAACATATTAAGCCTCATGGAGATCAGAATACTTTTCACATGATTCAGGTTACAGATGAATCAAGGATGACATTTCTGGGTTCTGGTTCAAAGAAAGTATGTTTTTATCTGATATCCTTTCAACTTGTACCTTTCCCAGAAAGCTATTGATGACAGTGTGATCAAAGTGGCATGATGTTTTTATAAGGAAGAAACGTTGAGTCATACATATGTTACTGTCTTTAAGGTTATAAATAGCCCTGAGCTTTTGATTACATTGATCAACTTCGATATCTGAAAAATACTAAGATAATGCTAAACTACTAATACTAATGTGTGAAAGCAGTACTTTAAATTTCTCCGCTTATTGATAGTATTTGTATTTCAAAAACTTATTTCCATGAGTTTTATTTTCTGTGGTGTTTATATGAATGTTAGGTCTTTATAAAGATGTAGGTTGCACTGTGTGTAAGGAGTGTCAGAGTGACGCAGGCATCGGATTGAGCGTCTCTGCCTCGTTTCCCACAGTCCTCTGCACAGCACTAAGATGTCACCTGTCGGGGCCAGCAACCCGACAGTTCATACGGAATTATTCTGCCAGCCCGCTTACATTAAGTTTGAATGCTGCTTGTTACTGATGTTGGTTTTGTATTTCAATAGATTTATGGAAAATTTACAAACAGAGATTCAAGAAATGGAATTCCTCCAGTTTTCAAAAGGTTTGAGTTTCATGAGGAAAGAAGACTTTGCAGAGTGGCTACTTTTTTTCACTAACACTGAAAATAAAGACATTTATTGGAAAAATGTGAGAGAGAAGTTATCAGCGGGAGAGGTAGGTATGCCCTTTTATTATACATGTGACAAGGATGATATAGTAGATTAGAAATGTCAGTATAATTAAATTAAGTAACCTCAAATTAATCAAGACTAAGCTACTTTCTATTATTTACATATGCAAGCCAATTAACAAACATTTCTTACATACTATTTTCTCATTCGTGAGCAAGGTAGGAATTAGTGTAGCGACCGTGAATTGCTCTTCTAACAGCGTCAGGAAGTCTTACTGTTATAAATGGAGCCATACATCAGTGGCAGGAACAGTTTCTAAGAAGTGCATCGTGACATTACTTCAGCAGCGTTTGAGCATCACAGAGTGAGTTTGCACAAACCTGGATGGCACAGCTTGTGCTCTGTGGTGTAGATGAGTACCTGACATGACCTACCGCTCCTAGAGCCGTGATGAACAAACAGCACAGGACTAAACCAAGCACACACAACGAGTACAGTCAGGAGACAGCGCAGTGCAAGCTGGGCGAGGCTGCTGCTGGTATGGCATGGAATACTGCTTTACAAACAACCTTTTGTTACAGACAGAATAACAGGATACATCCTAAAATAAGAATTAGAAGTATAGTATAACAAATAAAGTAACCACCTTTTATTATCAAATATTATGGATTATATGTAAATGTGTGTGCAACTTATTAGCAGCAAATACATAAAGCAGTAACCGTCTTATTAGCAAGCACTGTGTATTTTATATTTTGTATGATTAGCAGCACAGCAAGTGTATTAATATCAGCATCATCACACACATAAAGATTTTGCTAGACCTCAGGAATTTGTCAGCTCCGCATTATAATCTTATGCTACCACCATATGCGTGGCGTGTCACTGGCCAATGTTTTGGTGTGTGCCACGTGTCTGTGTAGTGGTCCTCCCCTCGGTTAGGTGGAGGGCCTTAGCACATGCTTGCACTGGGAGCCAGAACTCTCCAAGTCGTGCTGTCCTGGAGCTCCATCATCTGGGAATATCGTAGCCTGGACATGGCAGGAAAGGACAGGGAGAATCACATTCCAGAAGTTAGATGCTTTGGCCTAGAAACATCACCTGACACTTGACCACTGGCCAGAATAACTCCACTGGAATTCCAGGAGGCCAAGAAGTTAAATCGTTCATAAATGCAAAAATCAGAAAAGGAACAAGAAGGCAAGCGCCATTGCTTAGTGGGCTAAGCCTCCAACCTGCAGCACCAGCATCCCATGTGGGCACCAGTTCATGTCCTGGCTGCTCCACTTCTGCTTCAGGCACTCTACTTATGGTCTGGGAAAGCAGCCAGGGATGGTTCAGATCCTTAGGCCCCTGCATGGAGGAGATGCAGAAGAGGCTCCTAGCTTCAGATCTGCCAACCTCCAGTCGTTGCAGCCATTTGGGGGGTGACCATTTGGGAAACAGCTGGAAGATCTGCATCTCTTACTCTCTCTTTTTTTTTTTCTCTCTCGCTCTGTAAATCTGCCTTTCAGGTAAAATAAATAAATCATTTTTTTTTAAGATTTTATTTATTCTTATTACAAAGTCAGATATACAGAGAGGAGGAGAGACAGAGAGGAAGATCTTCCATCCGATGATTCACTCCCCAAGTGACTGCAACAGCCAGTGCTGCGCCAATCTGAAGCCAGGAACCAGGAACTTCTTTCCAGGTCTCCCACATGGGTGCAGGGTCCCAAAGTTTTGGGCCGTCCTCGACTGCTTTCCCAGGCTACAAGCAGGGAGCTGGATGGGAAGTGGAGCTGCCGGGATTAGAACCAGCACCCACATGGGATCCCGGTGCGTTCAAGGCGAGGACTTTAACCACTAGACCACGCCGCCGGGCCCAAAATAAATAAATCTTTAAAAAGAAAAAGGAAGAAAAGAAGCAAATACGAGTGAACCTTGTGATTCTCAGTAAAAATAGCACAAGGCAGATCTCGTAACCTTGCCTTGTTGCCCTTGGTCTGCCCTGACCAAATACACAGACTGGACAGCTTCGCAGAAGTTTGTTTCCTCACAGTTCTCGAATCCCAAGACCAAGGTGCTGGGCAGGTGGACGAGGCCATGGTGGGTGGCAGTGTCTGTGGAAGCCACTCCCCTAAGCACGCACACTGTCCTGGCATAAGGCCATTTCCTTATGCACACCCACGGAGACAAACAGCAAGAAGGGGGGATGCTGGGTCTTTTTTACTGTCCTTACATTGAACACCAGACTTACCTGATAGCCTCATTTTTTAAATAAAGATTTATGTTTACTTGAAAGAAAGAAAGAGATGTTTACAGAAAGAAAGACAGAGATAGGTCCCTTGTGCTGGCTGCTCCTTAAATGGCCCCAATGGCCAGAGCTGAGCCAATCCAAAGCCAGGAGCTTCTTCCAGGTCTCCCACATGGATGCTGGGGCTTGGACACCTGGGTCAGCCTCCACAGCTTTTCCCAATCAGTCACGTTAGCAGGAGCTGGATCAGAAGTGGAACAGCCAGGACTCAAGCCAGCAGCTATGTGGGTGGCTGGTGCCACAGGTGGCAGCTTTACATGCTGCCCCACAGCTCTGTGCCCCCGATAGCCTTCGTCACCTCTTCACAAGGGTGGCTCCAAGTAGAGTCACGCCGGAGGTTAGTGCTTCAGCGTCAGAACCGAGGGCTGCATGCCGTTCAGGCTATAGCTCCAAGGGCCCCGCTCACGGTGCCAAGTCTGCACTGCAGCCCTGCTGCTCCCTGTGGTCCCTCCTCAGCTCTAAGACCTCAGATGTTCTTGTTCTGCATTTTGCACTTTTAACAGACTTGTTTACAGAGATCAAAGTTCAAAAGCTATATGGTAGAAAAGAAGGTTCAGTTATTAGATTATTTAATGTTTTTATAAAGTTGTAATAAAAACTCTTTTTTTTTTATTTTACTAGAGCATTAGTTTGGATGAGTTCAAATCATTTTGTCATTTTGCCACTCACTTGGAAGACTTTGCTATCGCCATGCAAATGTTTAGTTTAGCTCATCGCCCTGTCAGACTCGGTAAGTATCATGAATCGTTATTTTTGTTACGTATAAACGATTTCACTCAGTTCTTCTGATGGAAGCAATCAATAAGCTGGCTATGGGTTTGGCATGGTGGTGTAATAGGTTAATACTCTACCTGTGGTGCTGGCATCCCATATTGGCACCAGTTTGAATCCCAGCTACTGCACTTCTGGTTCAAGTCCCTGCTAATGGCCAAGAAAGCAACAGAAAATGGCCCAAAGCCTTGGGACCCTGCGCCTATGTGGGAGACCCGAAAGAAACTTCTGGCTTCTGGCTGCAGACCTGCCCAGCTGTGCCATTGCAACCATTTGAGAAGAGCTCTCGCTCTCTCTCTCTCTCTCCCCTCCCCCCACTCGCTCTCTGTCTCTCTCTCCACTCTCTGTAACTCTGCCTTTCCAATAGCAATAAATCTTTAAATGTGGCTATCAGTAAAATCACTGATTGACCTTTTAATTCAACGTCATCATCTAGATTCACCACACTCGCAGATTAATGCTTGCTTTCTTTTATCTTTCTCATTCTTCTACAAAGGAGAAGGAAATGCTTAAATATCTGTGTCTGAAACACTGATTAAACTAAAACAGCTTACTTGTGCTTACTCTCATTCATTCCCAGCCGAATTCGTGACTTTAACACATTCTTGCGGGTATTTTGTGTTTCTCTTCCCACACAGTAAAAATTGAGATTTGTCTCACTTCTTAAGTAATGCAAGTTTAGACTTCATTGCCCTTTGACTTTCCCACCTGGTTGATGAGTTCTTTTGTTTTGTTCGCAGCGGAATTCAAGAGAGCCGTGAAAGTAGCAACAGGACAAGAGCTCTCGAACAATCTTTTGGACACAGTCTTCAAGATCTTCGACCTGGACGGGGACGAGTGTCTCAGCCACGGGGAGTTTCTTGGAGTGCTGAAAAACAGAATGCATCGGGGCCTATGGGTAACAGATGTTGAGTCTTTAAAAATACATGTATTTCTACAGTTTGATACTCGCCTTAAATCTACAATTTGGGCAAAACCAAGGTTTTGAATAGAGGTTTTGTCATCACTTGTTAGAAAGTAATAAGGTGTAATTCACAATGAGATGTCCTTCACAGATGGGACTCAACATTTGTCTTTACCTTTGAAAATAAAACTTGGATTGAATCAGAGCCTATGCCCTAGGCTATAACCTTGGGCTCCAGTTAGAAATGCCTAGATTCAGATCCCCGCCCCGCCGTGTCACTGTGAATGCTGCCACGCCGCTGCGTTTTTCTCCAAGCTCCAGGCCTTTCACATCCGTACAGTGAGGAAACGACAGCGTCAGAAAGAATGATTGTGAAAATTAAGTGTAAAATACTAGCACTTTCACGAGGCATGGAATAAATGTTACCTATTATTATTCAGTCAAATTCACATATTAATCTTTAGCTGTAGAACAAGTGAAACTGAGGGTCTTGATTAAAGCCAGCCAGAAGCACTCTTGTGAAAGGAAAGATGAGACACAGTCCGCACAGGAGAAGGAGCGAGGGGGGAACAGGCGAGGCTGTTCATGGAGACGAGGCTGTGCAGTCCCAGCACGCGCTTCATGGACAGTGCGCACCGACTTGCAGGCTCTGTAGCCACTGAACCTAATTATTCCTGTGAATTAAACCCACCTTTGCAGTTAGCAGTTAAATACACCCAGAAGCTCCTTCTAGTTTCTAAAAAACAAAAGTAAGAAGAAAAGCCGAGGAGTTCTAACGCAGTCATAGCAACAAGAACATCCCCGGTCAGAGTAGAGCTGCTTCCGCTGGGCTGGTCTCCAGGAGTGCCGCGCTCCTGGGTTTGCCAGGACGCAAATGTCTGCTGACATTTACTTTTTCCATTTTACTGAGTGAATTATCCACAAAGCGCTTAAATGAGTTAGATTAATACCTCCTGAACTTTTCCATCAGGTGTATTGTGACCTATCATTTATTTCTTTTTAATTATAGATCATTTTAAGTCAACTTGTAAGTCTTGGAATTTTAATTCTGTATCGCTAGATTAACTTCACCGGCAAAAGGGAAACATTATAAAAACCCTAGAGGGGGAAGTATTAGAAAAGAATGAAATCCCAAACCTACATATTAAAGAAGATGGCTCTTCATTTAGCATTGAGGGAAGTAGCCTCAGTAACCATCAGCTAACCATCAGCTCAGCCTCATGGCACATTCACTCTTCATCCTTGACCCCAGTCGGAGTTGCGTGGCAGCCGTCGGTCCACCTGCATCCCCGCTCGCTGCTCCCCACGCGAGCGTGGGAGAGAGAGCTCCACACAGCCTGCTCAGCGTGCACAAAATAACGCCTGCGTTTCTACCGTTTCTTAACAGGTGCCACATCAACAAAGCATACAAGAATACTGGAAATGCGTGAAAAAAGAAAGCATTAAAGGTGTAAAAGAAGTCTGGAAACAAGCTGGAAAAGGCCTTTTTTAAAAATATAATGATATGGTGGCTCCCCAAGGATTGCTCTGAATGTCAGAACTTGAGAATTCGGCTCTCAGCCGCTTCCTTCCTCCTGTACAAACGCCTTGGCTTTCTGATTCAATCATTTCTTGGCTCTCATTAAAGAACTTACTAGAAGGAAAAATTATTTTGTAAAAGCAGGTCCTGTATTTCTTCAAAAGGCCTACATTTGAGGTTTTGTTTTGTACTTTGATTAGAAGAAAAAGTTAGTTTTTTGCTGATTTCTTAGAAATAAACGCATGATAAGCTTTCTGGAAGAGTAAACAAGTTTTTTTTAAAAAAGTTGATCAACATGGCCAGTATGAATTCTAGAAGTTGTGATGTTCCTAAAAGGGAAAAGGAAGTTCTAAAACTTACTTTAGATTTTTCTCATATCTAATATCTTATATCGCAGCAATTTCCTGTAGATTTTACTTCAGTTAAGCTCATATTCACTGTCTTAAACAATGTATAAATTTTCATGTCCTGTCAAAGCAGAATAAAATATTTGCACAAAAGCCAAAGTACTGAGGTGCTGTTTACTTTACGTGTGTTTTTTAATACAGGTGTTCTTCCCCTGCCAACCTCGCTAGTTCACGTTCTTAAAAACCAGTGTGATGTGGACTGTCCTGGGCTTCAGGATATTTTATAAATGATACTAGGAATCAGTTGGTATTGAAATAAATGTAAAATGTATCAAACTAGCATTTTTTTGATATGGTAAATAGAAGTTATCAAAAACAGGTGATGCTCAAATTAAAAAAAAAAAGAAAGAAAAGAAAAGAAGAAAAAGAACTAAGTAGAACTAGTTCCTGTCTCCAGAGAAGAGGCTGGTCCCAGGACTGTGGCAGGCAGAGTCCCACAGGCCCCTGGACATCTTGTGCCTGGAGGCAAGGAAGGGCCCCGGGTGTGATGGGCAGTCAACTGAAAGGCCCCCCTCTGCCGGCCTGGTATGGTTTGCAAAAGACTGTGGCTGTAGAATTAAAGGAGTGTGACTTACTCTGCAAAGTCATGATTAATGGGACAAAGGAGCCTGTTCATTGAGTGTTGCTGAAGAGTGAAGCTAACGGCTGAGTGTGTGGCTCATCAGTTGAGGGCTGCTTGGGATGCCTGCATCCCACGTCAGGGGACCTGCATCCAGTCCAGCATCCTGCTAATGTGCATCTTGACAGGTGGCACATGAGGCTTGCAGCACGGGAAACCGAGATGGACTTGGTGGCTCCTGTACCTGGCCTGACCTACCTTTGAGGAGTCAGCTAGCAGATGGAACATCACTCCTGTTTGTCTCTACCTTTTAAACAAAATGAAAATAAATGCTTCTTTAAAAAATGAACAAGACCTTGAAATACGCTTATTTGGGGACCGGTGCTATGGTGATGCCTGTGCCTGTGGTGCTGGGATCCCATATGGACACACAGTTCAAGTCCCCACTGTTCCACTTCCCATCCAGCTCCCTGTTCATGGCCTGGGAAGGCAGTGGAGGATGGCATAAGGCCTTGGGTCCCTGTACCCACACTCAGGAGACCCAGAAGAAGCTCCTGGTTCCTGGCTTCAGATCAGCTCAGCTCTGGCCATTGCAGCCACTTGGGGAGTGAACCAATGGATGGAAATCTTTCTATCTCTCCTTCTCTCTGTAACTCTACCTTTCAAATAAATATTTTTTTTAAATAGAAGAAGAAAAAAACAAACAGGGCCTGGCACGATAGTGTAGTGGTTTAAAAGTCCTCGCCTTGCATGCCCGGGATCCCATATGGGTGCTGGTTCTAATCCTGGCAGCCCTGCTTCCCATCCAACTCCCTGCTTGTGGCCTGGGAAAGCAGTTGAGGACAGCCCAAAGCCTTGGGACCCTGCACCCATGTGGGAGACCCTGAAGAAGCTCCTGGCTTTGGGTTGGCTCAGCTCCAGCCATTGTAGCCACTTGGGGAGTGAACCATTGGACGGAAGATCTTCCTCTCTGTCTCTCCTCCTCTCTGTATATCTGACTTTCCAGTAAAGAAATAAATCTTTCAAAAAAAAAGTAGAAGAACTGAAACATTTATCCCACCCACCCTGATTGGAGGCCCACATGGGCGGGCATCTCTCAACTACATAAATCTCTCTCAACTATGTAAACAATATTAAAAATTAAAATTTAAAAATTTCTCAGACTTCCTGAAACAACCAAAATTAAGGAAATCTGCCAAAAGTTTACTGGCTTTTCAAGAAAAAAAATTTTTTAATTCTTCAGAGAGAAGGAAAGTCATATAGATCATATAGGTAAGAATATTGACTTTATGTGATTAAAGGAACAATAAAGGATAAATGAAGGTAAATATGCTGAAGTGACTATAGATAAGTGAAATCAGTGACAAAATTGTAAGCGACAAGAAGGAAAAGTTAAGAATAGTTTTTTGAAAGAAGATATGATTAGTTATAGTTACTTATTTCTTTTTGTAAAGACTCATTTATTTATTTGAAAGGCAGAGTTTTACACACATGAAAGAGATGGGGGAATAAGAGTAGATGAGGGCCCGGCGCGGTGGCGCAGTGGTTAAGGTCCTCGCCTTGCACGCCCGGGATCCCATATGGACACCGGTTCTAATCCCGGCAGCCCCACTTCCCTTCCAGCTCCCTGCCTGTGGCCCGGGAAAGCAGTCGAGGACGGCCCAAAGCCTTGGGACCCTGCACCCACGTGGGAGAACCGGAAGAGGCTCCTGGCTTCGGATCGGCATAGTATCGACCCGTTGCACTCACTTGGGGAGTGAATCATCGGACGGAAGATCTTCCTCTTTGTCTCTCCTCTCTGTACATCCGCCTTTCCAATGAAAAAATAATAAAAATAAATCTTTAAAAACAAAAGTAGATGAGACAAGAAGAGGGGAGGGGAAGAGAAGGAAGAAGAGGGGAGGGGAGGAGAAGGAAAGAGCGATCCTGCACCTGCTGGGTCACTCCCCGGATGGCCACAATGTCTGTAGTTGCACTTGGTTGTGCTGAAGCCAAAAGCTTCATTCATGTCTCCCACACAGGTGTCAGGGACTAGGTACTTGGGCCATCCTCTGCTGCTTTTCCAGGCCATTAGCACGAGTTGGAGCAGGCCGAACCCAGACCAGCACTTAAACAGAATGTTGCTATTACAGGCAAGCTGCGGCTTAACCCACTACACCACAAAGCTGGCCTCATAAGTGTACATTTCAAACTCAAGAGCAGCCACTAAAAAAAAGTGGACAACCCACTGAGTAACTTTTAAGGGCTTCCCATAACAGTCAACCTTTTCTCTGGTGCCATCACTCTGTCCTCTTGTCGCTCAGCCACCAACACCACGTGGTTTTCCTGGAACTTCTCACACTCACTTGGCCTGTGATGTCCTGACCCTGGGTCTCCTGAGCTCACTCAGGTCACAGCATGCTTTGCTGCGTCGCGATCCTTGTAAACCCGGGTGTTGGCATCATTAGAAGCATCCTTCCATGGCACTAAGACCATTTTATGCTCTTCTTTGCAACTAGGCCAAGAGGCTGGCTGAGAGCAAAGAAGCTACTTAGCTTACAGCTACATCAACAATGGTGCACTGATAAGCAAATGAAATCCCTTGGGTCTGGGGTTTGTCCTTCCAACTGCAAGTATCTGATCCAGGACTTGTCCATCGAGGAACTAAGATAGTCCATCTTCCGAGACAATGAATCCTGGCACCTTTAAACCGCCCTCTGTGACCCATCTCCCCATGGCTGTACTCCTGGGAGGAACTCACTGGGAACGGGTGTCAGCTGCTGGAGACGCTGCTGAAGAGCCCCTGGGCCCATGGCTGCTGGCTGCTGGCAGCTCCGTGGCAATCCTGACCTCGAAGAAGTCACTTGGCGATTTTCCTCTGTGGACACGGGTGCTTAGTTCCTTCCTGGCACTCTGCAGGAGTGACTTTCCACCTCTTTCGTCTGTCTTTTATTAGATTCATTTTGCTTTTGAGCACACTGCAACAAACCAACTGATACAAAAACTACCTGTCATCATTCTGTGAAAGGGTGAGAGGACCTTCTATGGCCTGGAGAATAGGTTAGGGTTTCTCTGAAAAGCCATGTGTTGGGGGCTTGGTCCCCAAATGTTAAGGGAGAATGGATTCATGTTCACTATTAATGAAGGGTAGACACTTGATTCCACTATGGCGTCTGGAAGATGGGCCTCCTGGGAGGTCTTTAGGCTATGGGCTCTCCCAAGAGGGTTGGTTGTCTAGGTGAAGTTCACCTAGCTTCATTCTCGGCTTGCTGGTTAATCATGTGATCACTCTAGTGCAGACACTCCATTGCCACCAGATTCACAGGACACTCAGTCTTTGGACTGTGAACATCTACAGGGCGTATACACTCTAGGGGAACATGTGTCACTCTAAGCCTTGCATGCAAGGAAAACAGTAAAAGATGGCCCAAAGTCTTGGGAGTTTGCACCTACATGGGAAAGCCAGAAGAAGCTCCTGGCTCCTGGCTTCGGATCAGCATAGCTCTGGCCATTGAGGAGTGAACCAAAGGATGGAAGATCTTTCTGTGTCTCCTCTCTATAAATCTGACATTCCAATAAAAAAAATTTTTTTTAAAAATTTAAAGAAAGGAAAGCAGACACATTTCTAGAAGGGCATCCTCAAAGACATACATAATTATTAACCCTACCTGCACAGTTAAAGTCAGACACCAATAAAATCAGGAATTCAGAGAACTATGGCTTCACCTGATGAACAAAGAAGGTGCCAGAAAACAACCACCTGATCTGATGTTATCAGGTGCTCAGATAAAGAATTTCAATGAGCCGGTTTGCCAGTTAAGGTACGTGGGTCCCATCTGGGAGCTCCTGGCCTTGCTCCCTTGCTTCAGCTAACGTGTAGATTAGCAGGGAGTTACAGATTCATTGCACTCCCTGGCCAAACACCTATGATCTTTTCCACAGGACTAAGGAAAGCACTGCTAAGCTTTGTGTTGAACCACCAAAGACCAAAGAAATCTTCAGCAAAAACAGCAAAGCAAGAGATAATACACCTGCTGATCTTAAAATATATTACAAAACTACAGTAATTGAAACAGCATTAGCACAGACCAGCAGAATAGAGACTCCAAAGTAAACCCGAACAACCGCACAGCTACAGTCATCTGACCTTTGACACAGGTGCCAAAAGCTGTCAGTGATGCTGAGGACACCAACTTCCACATGCAGAGAGTGAAAGCAGACCCGCCATCTTCACCTGGTATAAACATCAACTGAAGACGTAAGTGTAAAACCCTAAGCTTTGGCAGCATTAGGAGAAAACCTAGGACACACAGGGAAGGGCGATACATTCTTGGATCAGATCCTAAAAGCAAATAAAAACAAATGTGTTTTCCTCAGGCTAAAGAGCTTCTGCACAGCAAAGCAGATAATTCGGAGTGATGAGACAGGCTACAAATGGGAAAAAGTTACCTGAAGTTGTGTATCTTGTGGAGCAGCCAGGCATGAGGAACTCCCAACAACAGCAAGATCTGATTATCACACGGGGAAACCAGAAAGACCCCAAAGAAGACACACA